GTGCTGTGTGTACAGGAAACTCATTTAAAATCTAAAAACACGAATTTTTTGCGTCGGTATGCTCTCTTCCGAAAGGACAGAGATGATGCTGCGGCATCATCTGGTGGTGTAGCCATTATTGTTAATCAAAAAGTAGCATGCACACATTTACCACTGCAAACAACACTAGAGGCAGTGGCTGTTCGAGCAGTTCTTTTCAACAAGCTCGTCACCATCTGCTCTCTGTACATACCTCCACACCACCGTCTTGGAAAACTAGAATTCGAGTCCTTAATAGACCAACTACCCGAACCTTATCTGGTCCTTGGTGACCTGAATGCTCATAGCAGTCTATGGGGTGATTCTCGCTGCGATGCACGAGGCCGTCTCATTGAACAGTTCCTTTTTTCCTCCGGCGCCTGTCTGTTGAATAGGAAAGAGGCAACATATTATAACCTTGCCAACAAAACCTACTCTTCCATAGATCTCAGCATCGCATTTCGTTCACTGGTACCATTACTTCAATGGAAAGTTCTAAATAATCCCTACGGAAGTGACCATTTTCCTGTTGTTTTGAGTACACAAACATCATACGAATGTCCTCCACGAGTTCCCAAATGGCTTATACACAAAGCCGACTGGGAACAGTTTCATAACAATGCTCAGTTATGTTGGACTGACATATGTGGACTAAGCATAGATGAAGCTGTGCAGTACTTCACAGCCCTCCTTATTAATGCAGCAGCCAAATGCATCCCACAAACATCTGGACAGCCCGGCAAGCGACACGTCCCATGGTGGAACACAGAGTGTCGTAATGCGCGAAAGGAACAAAACAGGGCGTAGAGGTTGCTGCGCAACTCGCCGACAGCGGAAAACCTTGAGAGCTTTAAGAAAATAAAGTCTCAAGGCAGGAGAACGCGTCGGCAGGCCAGAAGAGAAAGCTGGCAGAAGTTTTTGTCAGGGATCAATTCATACACACAAGAGGCTAAAGTCTGGAACATGGTCGGTAGGATAGCAGGAAAACAAGTGCACATACTTCCACTCGTAAACACTCAGGGTGATACCTTGGAAGATCAGGCAAACTTCCTCGGTGCATACTTTGAACGGATATCCAGCTCGTCCCACTATACCGACATTTTGCAAAAATACAGAACAAGAATAGAAAAGCAGAAACTCGAACACAAATCCACTAGATACGAGGCGTATAACCAAGATTTCAGTCTAGCTTAGCTCCGAACATCTCTAAACTCCTGCAGTACTTCTGCCCCAGGTTCTGACCGTGTGGTGTATGAAATGTTAAAAAACCTACCAGCCGAAACACGAAAAACGTTACTTTGTTTATACAATGCTATCTGGTTTTCTGGCACTATCCCTACCTCCTGGAAAGAGGCTATTATTATTCCTATTTCGAAAGAGGGCAAGGACCCTTCTTTAGCTTCAAGCTATAGACCTATTGCACTTACAAGCTGCTTGTGCAAAGTCTTCGAAAAAATGATAAACTGCCGACTTCTACATATCCTTGAAACAAACAATTCGCTCGACCCATTTCAGTGCGGGTTTCGAGAAAGTAGATCCACCACAGACCACCTCGTTCGTATCGAGGCACAGATCAGAGACGCCTTCGTCCATAAACAATATTTTCTCTCTGTGTTCCTCGATATCGAAAAGGCTTATGATACAACATGGCGTTTTGGAATTCTAAGAGACCTGTCCCACCTTGGCGTGCGCAAGAATGTTTCAAATAATTGAAAGTTACCTGTCAAACTGGACATTCCGTGTCCGAGTGGGCACGGTTCTTTCCCAAATATTTGTCCAGGAAACAGGCGTGCCACAAGGTGGTGTACTTAGCTGCACACTTTTTCTCATCAAAATGAATTCCTTGCACTTGTCCATCCCCCGCAATATGTTCTGTTGTACATATGTCGACGACGTCCAGCTTGGCTTCAAGTCATGCAACTTGGCAATGTGTGAGCGGCAGGTTCAGCTGGGTTTAAACAAGGTCTCCAAATGGGCAGATGAAAACGGATTTCGACTTAACCCACAAAAAAGCACGTGTGTCTTGTTCTCTCGAAAGAGAGGCATGCACTCGGAACCTGACATTCGACTGAACGGGCAACGTCTGTCCGTCAAAGCCGAGCATAAATTCTTAGGCTTAATCTTGGACAACAAGTTGACCTTGGTACCACACATAAAGTATATAAAAACAAAATGTTTAAAAGCCATGAATGTTATAAAAGTGTTGTCACGTACTACTTGGGGTAGTGACAGGCAATGCCTCCTGAATCTGTATCGAAGCCTCGTTCGCACCCGCTTAGATTATGGGGCCGTTGTTTATCAGTCTGCAACTCAAAGTGCTTTGAAGATGCTGGACCCCGTGCACCATTTGGGCATCCGCCTTTCTACGGGTGCTTTTCGCACCAGCCCCATAGAAAGCCTTTATGTTGAGTCAAATGAGTGGTCGCTTCATCTGCAGAGAACTTACATAGTCCTTTGTTTATTTCCTTAAGGTGAAAGCGGATAAGAAGCACCCCTCATACTCTACTCTTAATGATTTGTCGAGCTCAATTCTGTTTCAAAACAGGCCTTCGATGAGGCAGCCCTTCTCAGTTCGCCTGAAAAGCCTAGCTGAGGAAACTGGAGTCTCACTTGAACACAGCTTAATGGCTCCTGTAGCATATCCGCCACCGTGGCAATGGCAGACTATAGACTGTGATGTGTCCTTTCTAGAAGTTACAAAACATGCGCCTATTGCCCATATCCGAACATACTTTCTGGAACTTCAACACAAATACACACGTCCTGAGTTCTTTACAGATGCCTCCAAGTCCAACTCCTCTGTGTCCTACGCTGCTGTCGGCCCATCCTTTTCGGATGCTGGCCCTCTACATCCAGGCACAAGTATCTTCACAGCAGAAGCTTACGCGATACTTGTGGCAGCTAAACACATCAAACAATTACAAATACAAAAAGCAGTAATTTACACAGACTTCCTCAGTGTGGTAACGGCTCTGCACAGTCTTAAAAAACAAAAAAAAACCCGGTCCTTGTCTCACTTTACTCCACTTTGTGCACACTCTACACACTCAAACAACATGTTGTAGTGTGCTGGGTGCCAGGGCACCGTGAGATCGAAGGCAACGTGAGGGCGGATCAGCTCGCTGCATCCGTCCACAAAAGCACTGCCTCTACACCCATATTAATCCCCGCCCTTGATCTTAAGCCCTCTCTCAAACGAAACCTCAGGAACTACTGGCAGAGCAAGTGGGATACACACACACAAAACAAACTACACATTATTAAGCCACACCTTGGTCATTGGCTGCCAGTATCAAAATCACGTCTAACAGAGGTAACACTAACAAGACTCAGGATAGGACACACATACACGACACACACACATCTTTTGTCCGGTGGTGATCCACCATTGTGTGATAAATGTGGTGAGGCATTAACAGTTCTTCACGTTTTAATTCAATGTAAACAGTTAGACACTCTAAGAAGACAACACTTTCCATTACCCTACCGACAACATATACCTTTACACCCTGCATTGTTCGTCGGTAGGGAACCGCTTTTTAGTTATAAATCATTGCTAGCGTTTTTAAAAGAAATTCATAGTTTTCATATCATATACCCGGGCATTCCGTAGCACGACCTCTCCTGAGAGGTTTTCGCTGCGGTGGCTACACAAGAAAGCACTTGCCTCACGGCCCTTGGACGCAAGGGTATGAACGAGTGAGGCGCTTGTGCTAATGCCATACATATCCACCATCGTCTTTTATTATCACCAACTTTGTTCATCTATTCGCACCACACACACCTTTCACGGCATGGTCATGATTTTATTACCTGTATGTTTTTACCCGCCTTACCGCGAGGAATTTTATGACCCTTATACAGCCGCTAATCACAATCATTGTCCACATCTCTTGTCCCATGAACTGGCGCTCTTTGGCCATCAAATGGCCCTTGCGCCAAAAAACACCATATATCATCAGATGCATGGATGAACGCATGAACGGAAGCAGGGGCGGATGCATCGACGAACGCAGGGACGTACGCACGAACAGACGCACGCACTGACGGGTGGATCGACGCATGGACGGACGGAAGCAAGAACGAATGGACGGACGAATGCTTCGCCCCACTCTCCATCATTCACTCCGTGGATATGCTGCCAATTTCTGTTCAGTATTCCGGGACCAGGATTCCTTAGCAATCCACTTGAATTGACTTCAAGGCGCAATCCATCTCCTTCTCTATCTTCTAGTTCGATGCAATGAACCTCATCGTCCTCCTCCCCCTTCCCCAAAACCTTTCTGTGACTAACGCGGTGTTGTACTGCTTCCAGCGTGGGCCCACCTATCAGCAGAAGAACCATGTCATGTCTTTGATGTGAATTGACAGTTGAGTCGTAATAACGTCATCATGTCGTCATTGGTCAGCAAAATTTTTGATCGTCACTAATCTGTGAATTCACGTGAAGTGATACAAAAATTTTGGCTATCAGTGACATCATAATGACGTCATATGGTGACGTCCTCCCACGGTTTTTTTCTATCACTCGTGTTGACATTACTAAATTCTCGCCTTTTATGAGGTGCATGTGGCTTTTAGCTCAATAATTGAGAACGTTGATTGTTTCCTTAAGTACAATATATTCAATAAAGTTTTACATTGAGCCTGAAATTTAGGGCTCAAATGTAAGCTCTTTGTCGTGATAGCTACAATGGCGTGAGCTTTTTCCAGAGTAGTAAGAAAATGCTCGTACTTTAAAAAGTGCCGCGCGACTAGACACTTCGCGGAATTGTATTATCATTCAAAGACGTCCTACGAACAAATAATTCACTTTGCAACATATTCTGCATTGCGTAACAGTGCTATAAACAATACAGTTATCGAATGCATTTCGTAATTAACCATTCCTAAGTTTAGTATGAATTCACCTCACCAATGCACTTTTACACTAAATTACGACACGTTTGTCGCAACGTGACCCATTTGCCGTTTTCCTTCAGATCCTGACTTGCTGACGCCAGTGGAAGTGGATCGACTTGTGCGCGTTGTCTTCTGGAAAGCCATTCACGACGACGACAGTGCCGAGCCGGCAGCGAAGTTCTGCGCCCGCGTCATCACGGTGAGCTATTAGCATTCAACGATGCACCTTACTTTTCAAGGCGAAAATGCCTCGACAGATGCGGACATCGGCTGGGGTCCCGTGATTAGACGGCCTAGTGTCGGTGGCGTTAGTACAGTAAGGTTACGACACCATCATCATGAGATGATGTCACGATATGTCATCACGACGCCACCCATCATCAAAACAAGTGACCTCATAGCAATGTCCTGGTGACGTCATGTATAACGTGAAGTCACATGGTGACGTAATCACGGCAGCAGTGCTTGGTCAAACGTGGGCTGATCACAGAGGCTGCGTAAAAAAAAGAAAGAAGCAGCAAGCCTGCAATAACTCCAGCCCTGGCGGCAACGCATTGCAAAACCAGGTTTGTTCCACGGAGCTTTCGGAGGAACGCGCAGAAGCTTTATTACGTCAACTTCAGAGGAAAAGAGGTTGGACTTCGCATTAGAGTAGACTGACAAAGATGCTGGAGGGGCCCTGCGAGCTTTATTTTAAAATGAAACTATGTGTACTTCGCGTGCAAGGACGTCTCCGTAATCAGTTGTCCGGCGTGTAAAGCGGCCACCACTGTTACAAATACCATCACAACTTGTATCTATCAACAAACTGGTGATCTGCTTTGCAACCGTTTTCCTTATCTCAAAACCAGTGTCGTAATAACTCCTTAGACGGGCTTATGCTTACAATTAACGTTAAACCTAGCAGAAAAACCACTGTCCTCAGCATTCCTGTCACTGGAAACATTCCTGCGTTGAATGGAAAAATATACAAGTCAGCTAGAATCCACGTGGAAGAACTGTCAGTGTCCCGTAAGCATAAAGCTGAGACAACACGAAGGCAGTAGCAGTCTTTGCATTCTTTTCGGTAGATGTAATGACACTATCCTGCCACTTTACAAAAGCTTCCGGTAAATAACGCGGTTTCCACTGCCTCCAGGATCGGCTCATATTTGACAGAATGACAGACGTGCAAAGACGCGACCATGTGGCGTAGTCATGACTTCACAGCGACGTCTTAATTTTTCGCAATCTGTGAGTTGATCCTGTTAGACACTGAAAAGAAGCAATAATTTGGTTTAGGTTGATAAAGAGCACTCTAAGAACTCGTACACTTCAAGTTTTGCAATCACAAGTTCATTATTAGTGGAGAAACTATACCGAAGTTTGATCGTTGAATTTCGCACCGAAATCACCACACTAGGTGTTGAAAATTCCGAAACGTACTTTTCCTATGTTCGCGACATGGCTGGATGAAAATTTTGAACTCTCGTATGCTCGCTCTAGGACACCGACACACAAGGTACTTCCTATTTATTGAGTACATGCTATGTACGACCGAGTAAACGTTTTCAAAATTTACTTCGTCACGGTGTTTGGTGCGGGAATCTCACAGTAACGTCTCCACCCGCAATTTTTTTCGCTAGTTCATCACTAGGCAAACGTCGTCTTGCGGCAGGAGGGGTGTTTTCGCTGGTTCTGCCAGTGTACTTCACTAATAAGCGAAAAATCTTTTTGCATTCAGTCTTCCTTTAGGAGAATTTTTGCATCAATCACCGACGACGTATAGTACACTGGCGATGATCAAATTCAGCGTTTGGTAAGGAATGGAAGGCTTTCGCCTTTATTACTTAAGAAACCCTTGTGTCGGCAAGCTAGGACTTCTCCTGGATAGGGAAATGGAGTCTGTTAAATTGAAAAGAATGCTTTTTATCAAAGAACGTGCCTTTCTTTAGGAGTTTGCTCGCCAAGATTATGCTCGGGGCATGTCCCTTGACGTTACTCTAGTTGTCGAGGCGAGGGCTTTTGGTACACTTCCTTTCTGATAGCTGCAGTAGCGCGATGAGTGCACATCTCCACGCAGCTACTCATGATCAACACCTTTAAAGCGAAGGCAGCGGCGCAGAGACATCGCAGTACGGCTGCAATACAGGCCCGCCGCCTAGACCCCGCAGTGAGAGCTCGCGCGTTTGAAGAAAGACAGTAGCGTCAGCAGCAATCGCAAATCAGCGCCAGCATCGATCCGGAGGTGGCGGCCGCGGCGAGGGCACGCGCAGCCGAAGCAAAACGGGCTCGTCGACAAGCGGATCCTCAAGTGAGAGCCCGCGAAGAAGAGGCGGCACGTACGTTGCGGAAAGAAAACCTGTAATCAGAGTGGTCGCGGTAAACAGCGATCAAGCGCCTAAATGTCGCTACCCGAGTTTCGTTGCACCAACGCCCACTTCAAGCGAGACTTCTTGAATCGCTTGTTCGGCCATGGATTTAAGGTAATGCGACCACGCGACCACGTGTGGTTTAACAATATCACGACCATCGTCTCCAGCCGTAACTACCAGATCCACGAGAACGTCATCACTGTGCTCCAACGAGAGTTTCCTCTCGTGCAGTGTCTTCAGCGGAACGTGCCCGACGACGCCGCCTTCGAAACACACCTCAAGTGCCGCGGCTCGTTAACACGCCTTGCTATAAGAAGGGCCTCGTCCAGAGAACTCATGGGTTCTCCCGATCTGTTCCGAGCGAGCTCCTCAATCTTCCTTCACGTCGGGAAGATGACGTTTTTTTTTTGCAGCGAAAGCTGTTATCAGATAACAATGGAAGTGGCAGTGGGAGCTGTTGTCCACCACCGCTTGTGTCCACAACCACTATCCGCAAAATTAGTAAAAGAAAACGAATCCAGAAAAATTTAAGGAATGTAGACAGCTTTTATTGTCATAATTATGATTATGAGCAGCTTCAACTTCGGGGTCAGTTTCGGGCTCTTCACCTTGGTTTTCCATATCAAACTATCGAGTCAACCTGGGCGACATACATCCACCCTCTACCTACCTAACATTTGCTCTTTGCTTTCGGCTACCACTGTGGTGCCAATAAGGGCCTCAGGCATCATCATAATATAATACTGAAAGCTGCATTGAGATCACAACAAGAACCGATTTAGGCGGCCGCAGTTATACGCCGCTGCCAGCGCTAGGGTCCGCAACCGCTCTACTATCGCGAGACATAAAGTAAAATGTAATCAGTAAAAATATTTCTAGGAAAGGATGGGATTTGAAACCCGCATTTCTGCGCGGCAATCGAGCACTTAGAGAGACAGTGGTTCTTAACACTCCTTCACTAGAACACGCAATGCAGGTCTGCCTGGCAAGGAACCATGTTAGCACATAACAAACAAGTGTTACTCAATATGAATTGCACAACGACCGCAATTTAATACTCTAACCAATTGTAAAAGCTTCAGCCATAACTATTAAACGTCAGTGGCAACAGCATCAGTGAGCGTATATTGGGTACTTCCCTACTTCCTGGAAGTTACGTTGGTTCATGGCGTAGGGTACCTTGAACTTGTACCAGTCTTCAGGAATGTCTACAACTGGCTGTGGAAAGGACACCGTTCCAGCTTTCGTTGGGAATGCGCTACGTGTTCTGAGTGGACCAGGCAATTTTTATTGTTATTGGCAGCTGCTGCTGTTAGGTTTTCTGTGGTCGAAATGTCCCTGAAAGTACTTCCAATCGTAGATAGGAGGCCATCATTCAAAAGGCTTACGTTTGCAGCTCTGGAGTGACACATCAAGAGATTGACGAATGATTACTGGAATAAATACAGTTAATTTAAAATTAGTAGATCTACAGACCTAATTAGCAGACCTGTAGCGTTCACATCGTTACTCAGTCTTTGCAGTTCCATGGAGAGCGGGACGGAAAAAATAGACAGGGAAGGGTCAAGATAACCACAGGGTACTTGCGAAAAGTGACTGCCCCAAGAGTTTTTACATAGCGCGCTAGAAAGGCTTTCGCTGTGATTTGGCTGCGATTGCACTGCGTTTTCTGCGTTGGTCTGGTCATTCTCATTTTGAGTCCCTCAATTAAATCTGAGTCAATAAAGATAAGTGCTATGAAGCGGGTCATAAACAAGAAGTACACAGGACAGACATTCTACTTTGAACTTAAGTTTATTCAGCAGATGCGATTTTTTTAAGCAGCAACCAGTCGGGGCGATAACATTCGTCAGTCATCCACGTCTTGGTAAATCCTCCACAAACATTGTACTGTAATGGTAAGAATGAGGGGACAAACTTTATTGCGAAATTCGCCAGGCCTGTGGTACGAGCTATACATTACTCAGATACATAATAGGAGACATTGACTTCCTGGGGCGTCTCTGGCCAGCGGTATATCATTTTTGGTCGTCTATGACCGAGCTACCTCCAACTACGTGTCGGAAATTTGCCCTTATTTACCATGCACTGATTAGATATTAATTTGTAACGACTGTATTGGCAATGACCCGCCACGGTGATTTAGGGGTCAATGCACTTGACTTCTGTCTGCAAGTCACGGGATCGAATCCCGGCTGCGCTGACCGCATTTTTGATGGAGGCGAAAATGCTTCAAATTAGGTTCACTTTAAAGAACTTCATGTGGTCCAAATTTCTGGAGACCTTCACGATAGCGTCTATCAATGATATCGTGGTTTTGAGGCGTTAAACTCCAACAAATATTCTTCTATTTATTTGCAATGCGAATTACCACAGGCTGAGCTGGACGGGGTGTTCATCGATCGGCTGTTGTGGACCTGCCGCGTCTGGTTCAAGGAACACGACGTCCCGCTGCGGAGATCCACTGCAAGGGTGCAATGGGAGCCGCCGCCGCAGCAAGATGCTGGTAACCAACTGACCGCTTTAGTTGGCTTCATGGCCGTGCTTCTGTCATCCATCCCTGGAAAAGGAACGGCTGCATCGGTGGGCTCGTGCCACTCCGGACATATTTTCTGCATCGCGGCGCTCCTGTGTGATTCCTGCAAGCTTGTCCTGAGGTCGCCTGAGCTGGACCACCACACCAAGGTATGTTATTATCATCATCGCCACCAACACCACCACGGCTCGTCATAGGACTCGTCATAAACTCTGTTAGCGCACCTTCACAAGTATGGTTGCTAAGTACAAGCCGTTCATTAATCACCTTCTTAAGTTTTCAAGGAGCAGTGACACCATAATTCAAACATAATATGTAGAGTTCATTCGTTTCTTGGTAAGCACGTGTTTTTTAGTGAAGTAGGAATCAGATCCATTTGGTGTAAGTTATTCTATTTCGAGCGCAAAGAGCATCCAAAGCCACCGCCACCGAGAAAACTAGGTGGTGGTGACAAAGCTCATCGGCGCATTCCCGGCCATGAGTCACCCGGCTGCCTGACCGGGGTTCAATCGGGAATGAGAGGTCTTTTCTTCTTCGCTCACGCATCAGCTGCTCCTGGCCTGCAGCCCGGCGTCATGGGCTTGGCAGAGCCTCGTCCCCTGTGTGCACTGCGTGCAGGGCAGGTGACACCATCGAGCACCTGTTGTGTGTTTGCCCAGCGCTTCACACACAACGCGGCGTCTTGCTCGCCGCACTTCGTCGCCACGGTCCGCCCGCAGCTACACAGAGGGGCCTTCTCGTTCCTGCACGGCACAGCACTCAGGTCTTCAAAGCGATTCTTCGCTTCCTTGAGGACACTGGACTAGACAACCGGCTATAGAAGCCGCCCGCCACGTCCTTGGTCATGGACGCCATTTCTCTTTCTATAATCTCTTCTTCACATCTTTAATGTCCTCTTCTCCTCCTCCCCTGCAGGCGCTGAGCCGTGCTCTCAATTATTTCTGCAGAATTTGCATCTTTTCCTTTCCTTAACCTCTCTCTCTCATCAACAGTATTTTTGCGTATTCAGCAAGCTCCAGGGCCACGCAAAGAAGCATCGACAAGTGCCGATGAGCGAGCAGCAATGATGTCGACAATTTTGGTGTTCTCATCACGGAGTCTACATGTGGTACCGTCTGGTGGAAACGCCTGGCTGCCTGGCAACGGCTTCACATGCTTGTTTTGCTTGGTTTGTGCAGGGCGTTCGTGTTAATTCTGCGTTTTCATTTTGCCGCTTCGGGTGATTTGTCAGAAATTAGTGTGCGTGAATGTGATTACTTGAAGCTATAGGCAAATCGCGAACAAGTAACCCACAAGCAGCGTTAATATGTATTACCAGCCAGCATGGCCCAAGCGTGCGTCTCCAGCTGTCTCGTCAGTGCGCGGTCCGGCGTCGATTTCAAAATAAATCCTCAGACAACGATCGAACCGACATTGCTTCGCTGCGGCAAGAATCGTCACAATTCCATATTCCCCAGTGTTTTGATCATCGCTCGTGGACGCTGATGACGGTGGCGACGACAATGGCTGTGGCGGAGGCATGCCTATACACGTGTTCGCCAAGCAAAAGAAATGTCAACTGAAAATTGAGTCACTATTTTTTGTGGCTGCGTGATCAATGGGGCGAGACTGCGGGAGGGGACCGCTTGGCGGTGCTGGCAGCGCTGAAAATTGGCGGGTTTTGCACCCATTTTGAATTGGGTTTGATACTAGTCATACTGATCGAGATAACATATATCCATTCGTCCATATGTTGCGTGATCAGTACAGAACCGTCACCAGGGGATGAACTACGCGTTGACGCCATAAACGTGACATGCATAAAGTTGATGTCATTGCTACTTTAACAAATCAACCACTACGCCTCTTTATAAGGCACTCTGTGCACTACATATTATGAAGTCTTCAATTTGGATGACCTTTATTAGGCCCGAGGAACCGGCAGCCTAAAGCTACGATGAATGAACCAAGGTGATGATGCTACGCGACAACGATGAGGATGCATGAGCCACACATGATAATGATGATAATGTACAGGTGAAGAGGATGCGTATACTAAATGCCCACACATATCCCCCCCCCTCCGTGAAAGCGGCCAGCCTGGCCGCGGCAAGTCAAGGGACAAAGAACGTCGCATGAAGGGCTTCATAAGGGAGACATGGAAGACCTCTGTAGTACGATAACAGCGATCTGCTGGGGCTACAAGTGGCGTCACGTGATAATTCACTGGTGCAGTCTCTTCAAGAACTGTGTACGGCCCGATAAACCGTGGCTGAAATTCGTCACACAAACCAGGTGTGTGAAGAGGCGTCAAAAGGAGCACTTCGTCTCCAGGTTGGAAGAATACAGCACGATGCGATTCATCATAAACTATCTTTCTGTCTTGCTGTCGGGTTTCAGTGTTTATGCGAGCACGTTGGCGGCACTGTGCGAGTCGTAAAACGTATTCCTCTGTAGAGGATGGAGATGAATCTGTTTGGCAGGTAAAGAAAGAGACGTCCAGGAAAGAAGTAGGGGAGCGTCCATAAACTAGGTAAAATGGTGAGTAGCCGGTTGTCCACTGAATGGCCGTATTGTAGGCGAAAGTGACGAATGGTAGAACTAAGTACCAGTTTTTGTGGTCTGGTTGAATATAAGCGGCGATCATGTCAGCAAGAGTGCGGTGTAATCGCTCAGTGAGGCCGTTAGTCTGGGGGTGATAACTAAAGGCAGTCTTGTGAGTTGTGCCGAAGGCGTGAAGAAGTTCGTTCACTAGTTGTGAAAGGAAGGCCCTTCCACGGTCACTGAGCAATACACGTGAAGCACCATGACGCAGTATAATGGCTCGGAAGGATGAAATCGGCAATTTCAGAAGCTGAACCAGTAGTGACGGATGCCGTCTCGGCGTAGCACGTCAAATGGTCAACGGCTGTTACTATCCACCGGTTTCCAGCAGCACTGACTGGAAGGGGGCCATAAGATCGACGCCTACAACTTCGAATGGTGTGGCTGGGCTCGGAAGAGGCTGCAGTGTACCGGCTGGAGCAGATGTTGGTAGTTTTCTACATTGACAGGTAGTGCAGGACACGACGTACCGAGCTACACTAGTGGTAATGCTTGGCCAGTAAAACCGACTTCGAAGGTGATCGTAGGTTTTATGGTAACCAAGGTGACCAGCAGTCGGATGGTCATGAAGCGCTCTGAGGACTTCGGACCGAAGCGATTGGGGTAGAACGGGAACCCAGCGCTGATCGTCAGGATGGTAATTTTGCGGTACAGCACCGGGTTGTCCAGCTTAAATTGCGAGAGTTGGCGACGGAGCCTTGCATTAGGTGGACGGGAACTGCCAGTGAGGTAGCCTATAGTACGTCGACAGTATGGGTCAGCCAACTGCTGAGAAGAAAAATCGTGGGGATCGTCCGAAGGCAGCTGGTCCATAGAGGAGAGAGGAAACCGCTGTAGATGTGGACTCCGAGGGAGTGTAATGCAAAGTGATTGCGGAAATCCCGAGTGGTGTCGCTGGTAGTGGGCAGCGAGAAAGAGCGTTGGCGTCACTATTTTTTTTGCCACACTTTTATATGATGTCAAAATCATATTCTTGGAGGCGTAGAATCCAGCGGCCGAGGCATCCCGACAAGTTTTTGAGTGTCGAAAGCCAACGTAAAGCGTGGTGGTCGGTCACAATGGTGAAATGGTGGCCGTGCAGATATAGACAAAATTTCTGCACTGACCAAACGATTGCGGGGAACTCCTGCTCGGTGATTGTGTAGTTCCTCTCGTCTGCGGAAAGGACGCGGCCGGTGTTTGCAACGACTCGCTCTCGCGAAGAGTTGTCGCGTTGCAGGAGCACGGCTCCTAAATTGCGGCCGCTAGCGTCTGTGTGCAGGAAGGTCGCTGCATCCTCGTGAAAATTAGAAAGTACAGGGTCAGTTGTGAGGGCATCTCTTCAACCTGTCAAAAGCCGAATCACATTTCTGAGACCACTGAAAGGGCAAACCGGAAGCAAGTAGCTTATGGAGTGGTGCGGCTATGGAGGTAAAGTTTTGTATGAATCGCCGAAAGTAAGAGGCGATACCAAGGAAACTTCGCAAATCTTTCGGTTTGTCAGGGCGAGGGAAGCGAAGCACTGCAGCAGTGTTATCAGGTTGGTTGGTTGGTTGGTTGCGAAACTTTATTGAGGTCCTGCAAGGCGCACGTCAGCGCGCAGCGGGCGACTCCCACGTCGGCAGTGTTATCAGGATCTGGACGAATTCCATCCTTGTTCACAGCATGACCGAGGACCTTGATAGATATGCTGGCGAAATGGCACTTCTTGGTGTTAATTTAAAGACCAGCGCCCGCAAGACAAGTCAAGACCTCGCCCAAGCGTTCCGAGATCTTGAGGAAACGTCGATGAAAAGACAACAATGTCATCGATGCTAACATAGGCAAGTCTTCCATTTCAGGCCACGCAGCACGGTGTCAATCATGCGCTCAAAAGTTGCGGGCGCATTGCATAGACCAAACGACATAACCTTGAATTCGTATAAGCCGTCTAGGGTTGCAAACTGAGTTTTTTCTTTATCATCTTCGTGCATGGCGATTTGCCAATAGCCGGAACGCAAGTCGAGGCTCGAAAAGTATTCAGCACCCTGTAAGGAATCGAGGGCGTCGTCGATGCGTGGCATGGGGTATACGTCCTTCCTAGTCGACGCAAAATCGTACGAAACCGTCTTTTTCTGCACACCAGAACGATGGGAGACGACCAAGGACTGGTTGAGGGTCGGATTATCTCCCGTTGCGGCATATCGTCTACGTTTTTTTCAATGATTTTTCGTTCGGCTAGCGAGACGCGGTACGGACGGCGGTGCACAATGGATGTTCCGTTGGTCTGAATACGATGTGCTGTAGCGGCTGTCTGGCCCAGGGTGAATGAATGAACGTAAACTCCTATTCCAGAACTCAGTCTATTAGTGAGCCGGTTTAATGACGGTGAAACAAAAAATGCAACATAATCGACTGATATTCTTTTTTCAGATACTCAATGGAGACTACAAAGTTCACCTAAAGGAACACATCGCACTACACCCATTTACCACATCCAGAACAAAACACTCGAAACATATCACACCACATAGCTACAGAACAGATTTATTCAAGTATTCGTTTTTGGTTCGGAGCATCGATGACTGGAATCAATTACGTCAATACATAGTCGAACATTGCGATTTACAAAGGTTCGAAAAGGCTTTGTCAGAATATTTGTAACCAAATTGCTTGTTCCTTGTCGGTTGAATATGTTCAATGTACTATATCAATATGTTCAATATGTACTATATCACTTCAAATCTTTTTTCTCTTTTTGGTGACGTGTGCGAGATGTATTCGAACATGTTTCTTTTATCCGTGATCTATGCGGGATGTATTCTGATATAGTTTTGCGTTTTTCTTTTTGTTATTTCCATATAGTGTGCGTCTTGAGCGTACAGTGTGAAACTTGTTTCCACATATGTTCTTTGTACGTGCCAGATATGTAACCCCAACTCCTGTCTTGGTCCTTGGGCTGACAGTGTGAATAAATAAATAATAAATAAAAAAGGAGTTTGCATGCTTTTCCAACAAATCAAGCAGCTGCTGCTTCTGTGAGTCTGTCAAGTCTTGTTTATGGCTGCTGTAAAGGCCGAGGGAGGAGCATGATCTGCAAGATGGCATTTAGAGGAGACAGGGGTAAGAGGCACGACGCACACAGGCTCCAGATCGGCAACGCAGGCGACAGTAGTGCCCCATGGCAGTAAAATTTTATCTGGTGTGGTGTTGGTAGCAGCAAGGACAGCTGATTCATTGTTGAAGCGAGCCACACCTGATGCGAGAGCTATGCCTTTATTAAGGCAACGGGGCGACGGAGTGACCAAAATGTCACCAGAGTCGACGTCGTTGGACAAAACTGTGACTAATTGATGTTCGTGTGGTGGTAACTCGATGTCTACAGCAGCGATGAGTCGAAGTGGCCTGTAGGTTTCGTCGTTGAGTAAGTGGTCCGTGTCAGTAAGATGGACGACACGTTGTGCAGAACAAATAGCCGCAGAAGCAGAGGAAAGAAAGTCTCAGCCTAAAATGAGTTCGTGGGAGCACGGGGATAGCACAGCAAATTCTATGTGATGAAGAATTTCGTCGATTAGTACACAGGCAGTACAGAGAGCGGAAGGGCGAATCGTTGTTTCCTGGGCTGTAACCAGTGTTGGTCCATCATAAGACGTCGTGACTTTTCGAAGACGGGCACACAAATCAGCACGATTAACAGAAAACGCAGCCCCAGTGTCCACCAAAGCATCAACGTCCACTCCCTCAACTCTGACCGCCATCATATTGTAAGGGCGCGCTGGAGTAATTGGAGTCCTGTGTTGGAATGCAGTTTGTCCTCCAAAAACTGCATCGCTTAGTTTTCCGGACGCCGATCAGAAGCGAGGGAAGCAGGCTGAAGAGGAGAAGGAGCGACGGTAGGGCGATGGTGAACGGCGTCGGTTTGATCGATGACTACTGCGCAGTTCACCCGATGCTGGCGGAGATGGAGACCGACGCGGCGGTGACGAATAACGGCGGCCCTGCTACAAGGCTCCTGCGGTATAGTCCCGTTCGCGTATGTCATACCCTCGCCGCTTGTCTTGCTGGCGCTTGCGGCAAAAGCGTGAAATGTGACCAGCGATAGCCGCATTAATAGCACGTAGGGCGAGTCGATCGATAAGGAGGGTAGTAGCTTGCCCTAACTGCACCGGGAGAGAGAGCAGTGAGAGGGACAGATGACGGCTCAGGCGGTGGTGATGGAAAGCTCGTGGGAAAGCTTGTGGGAGGTGCGGCAGCAACCGACGCGTACGTTCGTGGCGGAGACGTCGAGCTGACGGTGCCTGGTGGCGCGGCGGCGGTGTGCGGGAATGATGGGAGAGTACGGTGACAGTGGGCTGCAGGTGGGCCATGTGGGTCATGGACGTGAGCTCCTCCCTGATGACATCCCGCAATGACGTTGAAGAAGACTGAATGGGACACACTGAAGGTAGTGTGAATCCCATTGTTTCTAATTCTTCGCGTACAATCACACTTATCGTGTCTCGTAGGTTTGGATCCGCTGTAATACGGGCCACGTCACTATCCGGTTGTAAGCGCATAGACTCAAGTTCTTCGAGGCGCTGACAGGTTGGCACAACGTCAGCAACGGTAGCCGGATTCTGGATTGCAAGGGCATTGAATGCGATGGGTGCGATCCCCTTAAGAAGCTGGCGCACCTTGTCTGACTCTGTCACTGGTGTGTCAACCCGGCGGCAAAGTGAAAGAACATCCCCGATGTAGGATGTATACGACTCCGCGATGTGCTGTTTCCGAGTCGCGAGAGCTTTCTTTGCGAGAGCCGAACGAACAGCCAGTGTGCCAAAGACATCGCGAAGCTGATCATTGAAGGCTGACCAGTCGGGGATGTCGATGAAGTGGTTGAGGAACCACGTCTTCGCGACACCCGTGAGGTAGAATGACACGTGAGCGAGTTTGTAGGTGTTATCCCACCGGTTAGCAGTGCCGATACGCTCGAAATCGTTCAGCCATTCCTCTACATCTTCCCCGCGCATACCAGCGAAGGGATGGGGCTCACGCTGGAGGCTGTTGATGACGTGAGAAGGCACGGCACGCGGTGGTGGAGTGGGAACGGCTGCAGCACTGACCTCATCTTGGTGCGACATATTTCTGGACACCTGGCCCAAGCGGGCGACCTGAACGTAGCTCCAGGGGTAGAGTGGTCGAGAGGAAGGCGGGGGATCTAACAGCACGCTCCACCACGTATGAAGTCTTGGTTTGGATAACCTTTATTAGGCCCGAGGAACCGGCAGCCGACAGCTACGATGAATGAACCAAGATGATGATGCTACGCGACAACGATGAGGATGCATGAACCACACATGATAATTATGATAATGTACAGGTGAAGAGGATGCATATACTAAATGCCCACAATATACGTATATGCAAATGCAGTAAAAGCTTTATAGGTCGTACCTCAATAATCCGGAAAATAGCATCCTTCGCACGGGTCTTTTGGTTCTGGGCAGCCTACGCGTTGCTTAACGGCGAGAAACATTTTTTAATTCGGCCACATTAGGCCGCAACTCGGTTGATTCCGACAATCCTTCGGAGCGCGCCTAGCACGAAACATGGCAATTCTTTGTCCCGAAAGAACAAAAACAGCATTCACAGCCAGCAGAAACAAGGTTGAGTCCGGATCGCTATTTTCATCATAGCGAATGCATGCGTGTGGTGGTTGTAATGGTGGCAGTATACACGCAAGGAGGAGGCCTGCCGAGTACTTTTAAATTAATTAAACACGGTAGTCTGGCACCAATGTCGCGTTGGAAACTAGAACGCATAATGAGAAAAGTTGCTGCTTCTACACTGGTCTTATGCGGAATAAGTGCAGCATTTACGTATTCATGAAGGAAATTGAGGTATACATAGCAGACATTTTTCCTTTGTTTTCTTGATACGTTCGATAGGTCGACATTCAATGACTTCTGATACTTTTACCGGATTTGTGAAAGTCAATTGACGAGATTTCAGTGTACTGTTTACATTGTGAACGATGGCGATTATTTATTTTCATCACCATCAGCTTGACTACGCCCACTGCAGAGCAAAGGCCTCTACCATGTCCCAACAATCAACCTGGTATAGTACTTTTTTGCTGCCATGTTATACCCGAACTTCTTAATCTCATCTGCTCACGTACTTTTCTGTCTCCCTTTCACGCCTTTACTTTTTGTTAAAATTCAGTCAGTTACCTTTAATGACGAGCGGTGGTCCTGCCTACGCGCTACGTGCTCTGCCGATGACCATTATTTCTTCTTGATTTCGACTACGATACTCTTAACCCTGGTTTGTTCCTTGACCAACTCTGCCCTCTTATTGTCTCTCAAGGTTACATCTATAATTTTCCTTTCAATCGCTCACTGCGTCATCCTCAATTTTTGTCAAGTCCTAGCTCTCTGTAAGCTTCCAGGTTCCTTCTGCGCAGTGAAGTGTCTGTAAGATGAAGCTATTACATACATTCTTGTTGAAGGGTAGTGGTAGACTGTCCTTAATAATTTCAGAATGTGTGTCGAATATGCTCCATCCCATCCTTATTCTTCTTGTTAATTCACTCTCGCGGTTCGGCTCCACGGTTACTACATCTCTTAAGTGGACATACTGCTTTAAAATCATTAGTTATGACTGTGCCCATTGTAACATAAGCGAAGCTCTCCAAGCCCCCTTACTGGTTGACATAGTGCAACTTACAGTTCAATTCTGCACTTCGGCCACGTGTTCTCACCTTCTCACCTCTCCCCTGATTCCAGAGTTCTCGCCTTACATAAAGCATGTATAGGGTGTTTTCTCCAAGAAGTTTCACGCAGTGGTGTGGCTTTGTTGCAGAATAGTTGACTCGTGTCTGTTATATACATGTTTCATGGAGCTCTCCTTCAAAGGAACTGTTTAAAACCGAGGGTCGGTCGTGCGCACTTTTTGCCCACGCGCGAGAGCGAAGAAGCCTGACAAGAGGGAGAACATGGTAAAGATATGAGGAACACAGGGAGGCTTATATTGAGAAGCTACTTGAGCCAGGTAAAGAAAGCGTGGCAATATTGAGAAGACCATGCAAGGTAGAAAGAAGCAGAACGAAGGTGAAGCTGCGGTGGGATTAGAACAGGTGGTGTAGGGAGGAGAGATAGTAGTAGTCGAGATTAGCTGTGCTGGAAAAGATGTGGATCAATGCTAGCACATTTTCAAGCACCGGCGATGCAATGGAAAGATCAGGAGCAGTGCGCCGAGCGTTTGCGACTTGAAGCCATTGCTTCGATTCTTTAATGAGCCTTCGTAGGTCAAGTCAGTTGAAGCCTTGTTGAGTGGCGCATTTGTTTCTTCAGTCGGACAACACATTTTAACAGACTGCTAGGTATATAATGATACATTATTGTTTTAAAACTGCCACCGCAGGTCGAGTGCCTCCGCAGAGCCCTAACTACAGCCGGCGAAGCTGCTGAACGAGGTGCCCCTGCCCGCATGGCGGCGCTGGTGGCCTGCTTGCGGGACGCTTTCTTGTCGTCGGATGTTCCGGAGGATGATCGCCTGACCCTGCTCGAACTTATAGAGCTGCGCGCTTCAGGATGGAAACTATCCCCGGAGCAGCAACTCTCGTACGCTAGCCTCAACGACGCCGTCGGAGACGAATGCGACGATGTTCAAAACTTGTCACCTCTCCCATGGCGCATCGCCGAATGAGGCTTCCTTACATTTGCACCCGGACACGAGACCCTTCCGTCAACACGTTTCGCGTGGCGCTCAATAGCTTCTTCTTTTTCTTTTGTGTGAAATAAACTAATTCCTATTTGATAGATCTGCCTATGGCTTTTACGAGCTGTCTTTAACTTTTTTTCTTTTTGAACAAGTACAGTGATTTTTTTAAGTACAGCGATGGAAGGCCTCAGATGAAACGAGGTAACAGCGTGGCCCAGAACGAAAAGCTGCAACAAGATAAATCTTGTTTCGAGAGGACGGCAAATGGTTTGCCCCTCGTCACCCCTCTAAATATTTTTTTTTCGAGTTGGCAGGCGTATGTATTCACACAGAGAATTCACGAACATTCGAAGAGAATATCAGAACCCCATCCACAAGAGCATTTCGGTTACGCCCTTTCAAGTGCGCCCTTTGCTGCTTCAGTTCGAATAGGTCACTATTAAACGCGCATTTTATCCCTTCGTAGATTTCCGTTCACGCAGGTGGGCTGTGCCGACAGCGTCGGCCGCCATTTTGTTTTGGCTTAGGCTGTTAATCACTCTGCACTGCTAAGTGCCTTACTCAATGCGACCGAAGGGAGAAGACTGAAAGGGAAAAAAAACGACCGATAAGCATTGCGTTGTCTACAAATACCTGAAGAAAGTGATGGTGGAATTTACCGAATGAAATTCACTCTGTGTAATGAATACCTCCTTCCGAAAGAATTCAGATGAGATGTGAATATGGAAATCCCTGAAGTAGAAAAATTGAAACGATACTGATTAGGGCAAGTCTGTCATGATATAAGTACAGTGAATTGTTATATTATTTATTATTTATTTATTTATTTATTTATTACAAATACTGCTGAGCATTTTCGGGCTGCAGCAGGAGTGGGTACATGAGTGTCAATGGTAATAACGGAAACTGAACTGACTAAACACAATACAGTAGAAATGACAAAAAAATGGGCCCGAATCTACGTGCTACACTTAAATTTTGTCGAAAAAACGGTAGTCTTGCGTCTGGAGAAAGTGAACAATACGTTTATTTTATGTTCTGTGCAAGAAAATCGGTGAATGGTATTCTGAAGGTGCTGCGTTGGAGTGCATCGAGCGTGTAGCGGAGGCGAACAAGAGCATCTAGGCACGTTAGACAAGAGCGCCATCTGGCAGTTATCTTTGAAAACGATGGTGTGCGCGACCGCGGAGAAAGATGCGCGCCATTCTCGAAGGAGATAAGGTGTAGAATGCAAAGCGACGGGCAGGTGCCACCACCTGTCGTCGTAGCAAAGCGTTGAAAACACTTTCATGAGCATCGCGTTGCACTGTTAGCGCAGCGCGATAAACGATACAGTCCTTAGAGTTACTTGTGTGTGCCTTTACTAGTATAAAGGCATACATACAAAACATAGACGTGTTGTTGTGGTGCCTCTGATATGCACAGTACTTGCTTTTTTAATTGACAATCGCACAACTATGAACGCTAAACCTTGAGCAATATTGGAGGGCGCTGTGGATGAGGTTGGCCGTTTAGTGCCGTTTGAGGTGTCGTTAGGGTGTACAAACAGACAAATGTACAAGCAGTCATACAGACCAACATTTTTTCATCGAAGGTCGCCAAGAAAGACTATCATCTTTAAAAACGCCATGCCTGAGCAGAACGCGCAACACAGACACTGCTAAAGCTGAAAAAGCAACCTTCCGGAGCTTTTTAAACACTGTGGGTAACCGCTAGAAGCACAATTGCGGGGTAGCCACTACACCCATAGTTTTGTTGCCAGCATTTGTTTGTTTGCTTGTAGCCTGGAATTGATGGCACATATTTACTCTGGGGCCAAGAAAACATAATATTCACTATGCCATCCTTCGTGAATCTTCGGTGAAGCGTCATCCGTTTCAAACTTGCAAGAAATTTTGTGCTATATTTTGTTGCTGTGGTTGACAACGGAGAAGAATTATGCCTAACGCTATTATAATGGGGTCCATCGCTTGACTGTTTACCACACACATCGCTTAACTGGCTACCTCATATCAAATATATCGCCGGAAAATGTGTGCGGGTCATTGGCATATTACGTAGGCTCAGCAACTACCGCAAAGGTATAAGAAGAGACACATTGGTAATGATATATCGCATGTACGTTCATCCTATTTTGGAATTTAGTTGTGTACTTTTCTCTGGAGTTCCAGCTTACAAGTTGTGGCCTCTAATTCTTCTAAAAATAGAAGCTTTGTGCTTATGTCTTGGCCTGCCCAAAACAGTTGCTAACAATGTGTTGTAATTCGAATCGACGGTATCTCCTCTTTCTTGTAGAATTCTCCATCTGACTGATCAGACATTCTTAAGAATTTATGAATCCCCATTACGACCTTCAGAAATACCCTTTATTTCCACCCCATGATCATTTCTCGGTGCTAGATGACCGTGATTTCACACCCCTCAAATTAGATTTGTGCAAAATTTATTGGAGCCTCTAAACGTACGTATATGCGACATCATGGTGAGTCGTTATAATTCATACCCTGATGAAATTCAATTTGGCAATATTTTTTCTAATAACGCCAAATTACTTCCTCATAATAATTTGGACGGTTTATTACAAGATCACCTGTGCAGTAATAGAACAAACGTTGTTAATGCTACATACGCATCGCAATGTGACGAAAATTTAGGGGTTGGAATTTTCAGCCCGATTTTGGATTGGATTTATTCCCTTAGACTGCCCAATCTCAAACCCGTTTTTGTGGCTGAATTTCTGGCAGTAGTGCTCGCGTTACGCAAGTTACATACAGCAATTACATCAGCTGTCATAATAACAGATTCCCCATCTCTCTGTGCGGCACTTTCTGTTGGTGCTGATAATCAAGTAACAAAGGTGTTCCGTGCGCTAGTGCCTGTACATTTGAGAAAAGTACGATTAGTTTGGGTGCGTGGACATAAAGGTTTATTTCTAAATAAAATAGCTCATTCCTCAGCTAAGTCGTCAATTAGCGAATCGATTCTACCACACTGTCCATCATCCGCTTATGTGACTGTTGCTCGATTCCGCAGACGAACGCTTATGGAAGTCTTTAGAGGTACAGCGCTAAAAAACTCTACAAAATATCGCCATTTATTATATCCCTGGCGAAGAGACTTTTGCCGCACTCGTAAACAAGAAGTAGCTATGACAAGGCTGCGTTGCCGGTTACCAAATCTGAATTTCTATAAACACAGGTCTGCTCAGGCACCTTCGCCACTTTGCACGTTCTGTGATGAACTTAAAAAATAGATCATTTCTTTTTGACGTGCAGGCGATATTTCACACTCCGAAACAACCTTTTAGAAAACCTTTATGTGGTATCGGTATGGACTTATCTGTGCCTGCCATTTTGTCTTTTGGAGCTTCCATTTCTCGGTTCTTTAATGTGATAGTACGCGCGGCCGTCCGTGACCATACTGATGAGACTAATAGGTTGACTAATTAATGTGTTTCGTTATCGTAACGTTTTTACAAAATTATATACGTATAAAAATCAGGTTATTGCTAGCTTCTGAGAATAAATTCGTTTCTTTATTTAAATAATTGCATGCAATAAATTAAGCACTACACTTTCCTAGGTTATCGGTAATCTTTCTAATATATTTCAATATTCTAAGTCTGAACAATAATTTTTAAAATAACTCGATTCTTGGCCAATTCCTCATAGTGGGTATGCGTCACGATCAATAGGTGAACAAGAACAAGAACTAGTACCATTCCACGAACCACTCGTTACGAAATTCGCAAGGTGTGATGCCTGGCTGCTCTGTTGCTGTTCTAAGCGCTTTATTTACACACCTTAACGGCGATTTTGTCACCGGCATGAAGCCCGCCTATAGGGTGCAGTTTGCCACGGAGTTCCAAGCACCAGTGTAGCTCAGTGTAGAATTCTGGGTTGGCACACAGCGGACTCGGGCTCGAATCCAATTGTGGTGTTGCTGTTTGTTCTTTAGTTTTTTTTCTCGCTTTGTGCGATAGGGGTTACAGACACCGGTTGAAGCAGACAACTATGGCGCATGTAACCCGTGTGGGGATCTTATAACAGCTTTCACTATAAAGAAATACCAAAATATGGCACTTGAATATGGAACATAAGTACAGAGCAGAATTTCGAAAGTCAGTAGAAAGGCTACTGACGGAATAGGCGAACGATTGTGTCGGGTCCGCATTAACCACTTCTCCTGGTAACTCGCTCAGTGCGGTGAAAACGAAAGTACATGACGAAATTATGAATATATATATATATATATATATACCTTAAGGTGGCTGAATAGTTGCCTGCGTAATAATGAGTACAATGAAACCACCTGAGCGGGTTCATTATGTAACTTTTACTGTGCATAAGCTAGCGTGGCCGCTATCGTTTGCACCAAGCGGAAACACGCTCAGAAGCGTGCGAGTGCGCTCAGCGTCAGGCGAGGAAAGATTTGCCATGCTGGAAATTATCCTATGAAGCACGATCTTGCCGTGCTGGAAAACTTTATTGATAGTATAGATGCTGAATTGAGCATAACGGTGAGTCGGTCTATAACTTCAATGAATTCATCGTTGACAAGCACGTGCTTAAAACAAAGGGACGAACAAGAGCAACCAACGGGCGAAAGCTTTATAGAGACTGCGTTGTTTTTTCGAGAACGTTCGCTTAAGAATCCAAGGAACTGCAATGGCTACGACGCTGCTTCTGTGCAAAGCCGGAAAGTTGGGGACCAAGCTAGTCTTCGTGTTCCTATGAATAATGTGGCAAAAATTCTAAATCCAGGGGGAACCAATAAAAAAAACTCAACAGCGCCAATTGTGCCACTTTTGATGACTTGTCTTAAATGTACAATAGAAGTTGTGATATTCATTCACCAAGCGATGCGACAGATGGATGACTTACGCATATCTGCATGTTTAAAAGCACTGAAATTTGGGCAGGTTTGTGCTTGAACATAATGGTATTCACAGCGTGTAAACAGACAAAAAACGAAGGACAGAGTTATACAGCGCTCGTCTGTATCACTCTGTCTTTCGTTTCTTGTCTGTTAACGCGCTCTAAATGCCACTATACCTGCATGTGTGGCTGTTCCTCGTCCTAATTTGTCGTGCGTAGAT